TTAGCACAATATGGTGAGTTACAACGGCAGCAAGTGCACCGTGCTGGTTTGACAGGCAGGCTGCATCCCGGGCACACAGCCCGCCATGCTCGCAGGCAGGGCCTGCGAATCCAGATTTTCCAGAGCAGGAAGGAGACGAGATGGACGTCGAGGAGCAGGAAGGCGACGGGATGGATGTCGAGGAGCCCGTGGACATGGAGGAAGAAACGATATCTTTAGGGCTGCAAGCCATGACAGGACAAAGCCTCGCATCTTTCATGAATAAGACAGTTGACGAGCAAATTCACCACGTACCAAAGCAGTGCAACCGTATACATGTCTACTTTGTCTTGAGCAACAGCAAGCGACTAGTTGCAAACATGGGCACTGCACAATGAAAAGATTGTGACGGGAAGTGGCGGAGCATCTTGTTTTGCTGTTTTTTGTTTGCTCGCTCTCTTCGCATCAGACCGCTATGTCCTGCTATTTGTTCTCCAGTCCGTCAGTGTAGACTTTCACTCCATTTGGTTTCAGTGTGTGATTCCAGAATGCCGAAAAAGGTTATGAAGCCCATGAAGAAAACTGAAGGACCCGAACAGCAAGAAGTATGTCAAGGTCCAACATGTACGTCATCGTACCGAGGCGACCATGAAGCGAGTGGCCAATGAGCAGTGGGCTATATCGATGGAGACCGTCATTTGAGAGAGTTATGGCGGTTTTGGCTTATCATGATGCTCACGAAGACAAATATGTTGCCACAGTGGAAGAGGGGAAGGAGTGTCCCAGATGCGGAGTGGGTAAAATGTGAGACGTAAAGTACATAAAGCTCGCCAAGGTGCGGGCTCATGGTGCAACAGTATGAACCACATGTAATTGCAGCCGCGCGACTATCATCCCGTGTTCTTCATGGGTGCTGGCAATTCACAGACTGCCCTGCATATTCAGGCATCCGTTCTCCTATGTGCGACAGCTGGTGTCAAGGTACCGGAGGTCACTTTCGACCTCGCAAAGAAACTAGTTGAAAACATTTACGAGAATCTCGGCGTTGCTAGGAGCATGTATGTGCTCGCCGAAGAGAACATTTGCGGTGGTTGACGGGATGTCGCATTGGACGAGGTTGACGTCGCGAATTTCGTAAATACCTCCGTCCAGGCCGTGAAGAGCACTTCATGGGAGCAGCGGGAGGCATAGTGGAGTGGAGTACCTTCGCTTTGTCAACTTTGAAGCCCAGTAAACAAAAGAATCCGCCCCCGGCCCTAGACCCATCAAGCGCGACAGGGCCCCGGTTGCCCGCAGGCACTTCATGAGCAAGAACGTGATTCTGCACTCAGTGCCCATGCGTATACCATAGAGTTCCCCGGAGTCAAGCATTGCAAGCTTGTGCACAATAAGAAGCGACAGGTAGTAAATGCCGTGGCTGCGTGCTTAGCAAGTGGTACGGAGCATCATAAGGTGTTAATCGAGCACAGTTCCGCGCATTTTGATGTGGATGTTGGGTTTCATCTCGTGAAAAAGCCGTTTGGGTTTGGGGCAGGACAAGATCAGAGTCAAGAGTGGCGCAATGCTCAGTGACCGACTTTGGGGCACATTGCGAACACGCTCGAAGCATGTGTCACGCTTTGCGCGCAATCAGGTAATGACCAGGAAATTCGAAGCCGGCATGTGGAATACTGGCATCGGCATCAAAGCACGTCATGTGGACGTGGCAGGCAATATGTTTTAGTTTTGCACAACAATCGGCAAGTGCCTTTCGGAACACGGAGTGCCAGGTTGTGCACAAAAAGAGCTGCCACCAGACAGGCAGCACGAAAGCAAAAGCAGAATCCGTTTTGGGTTTCGTGTGGCTTTAACGTGTGACACCAATGTACAATAAATAGAGTTAAGTACAAAAGGAATGTGGAAACAGTAAGTACCATGTGTTCTATAGTTAAGTGAAGTCATGTAGAAGCAGAAGAGTGAGGAACAACAGGCAACAAGAAATGTGTTATGGATCATGGGGGCGTGTGACCATGTATACGTATGTACATATATACATATATGTATACATACATACATATATATATATATACATGCATATATATATATATATATATATAGCGCAGTTACTTGCTCTCACACTCTTTTTCTCTCTCGCTCACACTCTTTTTCTCTCTCCCTCCCTCTCTCTCTCTCTCTCTCTTATTATTATATCACTATATTGTATGTCCCCAACTCTGAACACGAAAGCCTTTAACCTTGAACGATGACGAGGCCGCTCACTGCAGCCCCTCCGGGAAGGGAGCAGCGCAACGGGATCTCGATGGCCGACCCTGGTAGTGTTGGAGGCCCGGGAGGGCTAGTGTGTTAGAGGTGAGGCTGTTTGTTTTTTGTTGAAATCGGGTGTGGGGTTTACCTACAAGTCAAGACGCCTGGCTTTGTTTATTAGGGGTTTGTATAAAGAAGTCATAGCGAAAGGTAGGTTTTGTAGTCCATTCAAAGCTAGGGTTGAGGAGTTCGAGTTTGTCAGGTCTGAGATGTACACGTCGCGAAAGCCCATACCCGAGACCCCAACTCTAAACGCAAAGTCTTGCACCCCAAACGTTCAGCCCAAAGCCCTTACAGTAACCCTACTGTAAACCACCCAAAGCCCAGAGTCTTAAACAGTAACCCCCAAACCTACACCCCAAGCTCTGCGAAGGGCCGGGGTTCGAAGCCTCGGCATCCTTGGGTTTGGGGATTAGCGGTTTAGGGATTGACGGGTTTAGGGGTTTTGGGTGTAGGGTTTCGGGTTTATATTTAGGTGTTCGGGATTTAAGGTTCAGGCGTTTAGGCTTGAGGGTTTGGGGTGACATCCCGACATCCTTAGCCAAGGCGCGGGATCCCAATAAGTCTTAAGATTGTACTAGGGTCTAGGGTTGAAGGGTTGCAGAGAGGGGTCGGGGTAGCTAATAGCAGTTTTCCCTCATGGTCTTTGGACATTCTTAATGGAATGATGCTGTTCTAGTTGTTAAGGCCAGTTTGGGGTTTTCCCTTGAAGCGTTCAGGATATCCTAGTCTGACGGCCTGTTAGCAGAAGCAGCCAGGTTGTTCTTGGTGTGCCTCTCGACGGAGGCTGGCAGCGCATCCGGACATTTCATCCATGCGAAATTTGAGTATATACCTGGTATCTGGAACCCTGAACCCTTAAACCCTAAACCATCCTAAACCCTAAAACGCCTTGAACCCCTGAACCTAAAAAGTTGCACCGTAAACTTTAGCAGTTACAACCCCCCAAAAACGAGGCTTCCGTCTTTGCTTTAAAGTTCTTGGGGTTCGGGGTCTTAGAGCTCTAGATGTGCGAATGGCGTGGTTCACAACTTTGTTTGAGAAGCCTCAAGGGCTTAGGGTATAGGGTTTAGGTTTAGGGGGCTTATACAGGGTATGGGGTTGAGGGTATTTTTGGACCTTGTGCTGGGTTTAGAATTAAGCTGTGTGCCTCAACACGCAAACTGCGTTGGGAACCTAATCCACAAACCCGAAAAGATCAAACCCTAAACCCAAAACCCTGCAACCCTAAATTTCTAAAGCCCTAAAGCTTTGAAGCCCCAAAGCAGTGCGAACAGTGAGGTACGAATTGCGGAAGCTTCCGTCTTCGCTCGGGAGACAGGCCTTGAATGTGTTTCGTTTTTGAGTTTCGGTGTGGGATTTTAGGCTTCAGGGTTTCGGGGTTTAGGGTTGAGAGGCTGTGGGTGTAGGGGTGTCGGGATTAGGGTCTAGGGCTTTGGGTTTAGAGCTGATGGTTGGCGCTCCCAGGAGGAGAGGCTTTCATGGACAAAGCTTTCATGTCGATACCATGCCACAACAATCATGACCTGGTGTTTGATAGTAACATGTACCGACGTCTTCATCACCGTCATCATCATCATCATCATCATCGTCATCACAATGTTCTTCTTCTCTTCAACATCGGCATCATCAGCAGCATCATCAGCAGCACCATCACCACTACTGGCACCATCACCACCAGCAACAGCACCACCATCATCATCATCATCATCATCATCATCACACGTCATGACCATCTTCTTGTTACTCATCTCTGCTATGATGTTTGGTATCGTCTTAAGCACGAATGTCATCGACCCCCGCCCATGGTCATCACTGCAAGCAGAATCAGAAGCATCTCATAGCCCCGACAGTAGGAGCGTGATCACTCCCTCGGCACACTGCCCCCGAGTTTTGAAGACTGTGAAGAGCGTTTCGATAATGCTTTGTGAACCCGATCTGCATGCCCTAAATCCAAAACCTCAAAGCGTAGAACATCTCCAAGAACTGCCCGTAAGTACTTGCAGATTTTCAGGTTTAGGGGAAATCTTTTTGGGTAGCCAATAAACGAACCCATGATCAAGCCTGCACGCTAAGCAGGTGGTAGTCTACGGCTTAAGGGCTTAGGTATCAGGATCACTTCAGTGTTTGGGTGCCGTATTGCTATGGGAACCCCTCGAGGTATCCCCGCTTAGAGAACCCGCGCATCCCCACCGCGACGACACACAGGCACTGCAGTTCGGATATATCCCACTTACCTCAAGAACACAAGGGCCGAAGAACATGTCAGATTCGACATAAAAGTAATACCCAAGCTCGAGCCAGAAAGCCCATGCATCTAGCTGAAACCCTCTCCAACACCATGCACACCATGCGAAAATCTGAACACCACCCTCGGAAGCCATCGAAAGGCCCACACCGGCCCCCAGAGCAAAAGTTTCACACCGGGGTGACCTGGATAAAAGCAGATAGCCTGAACCCTAGACCCTGGCACAACCATCGAACTCGAATCGCCGAAAGCCGCAGAAGACTCCACTATCCCTTAATTAAGGAATATACCTTAAATCATATTAAGGATCCTACTATAATTTAAGGAATATTCCTTAATTAAGGGATATTGGAACCCTAAACCCTAAACCCTAAACCCTAAACCCTAAACCCTGAACCCTAAACCCTAAACCCTAAACCCTAAACCCTAAACCCTAAACCCTTTTCCTTAATTAAGGGATATTGGGAAGGCGGCTGGAAATCCTGAGTCCCGGCGGACGATTCCACTCCAATTCTCGGGGGGAGGCTCGCGAGCTCGGGTTTAGGGTTTAGGGTTTAGGGTTTAGGCTCCCGAGCTCGGGTTGAAGGGCCGACTGTTTAGGATTTATGGTTTTGGGGGGTTTAGGTTTAGGCTTTAGGGTTGAGGGTTCGGGTTTAGGATTTTGGCTTTCGGGTTTTCGGGTCCGGGTTTAGGGTTTTAGGAGCTTCTTGGAGTTTGGAGTTTAGGGCTCAAGCGTGCAGCATGCAGCTTGGGATTCAAAGTTAGGGTTTAGGGTTTAGGGTTTAGGGAACAGCCTTCGCATCAGAGGTCATTGTAGCCACAGAAGACTTTTTGTTAAATCAATCAAACCAATACATACGTAACTAATTCAACGAATAAATAGATGACCATCTGCATGTATGTATGTATGTATGTATGTATGTATGTATGTATGTATGCATGTATATATATATATATAAATATACATACACACGCATTTTTTCTCATGGGTCAGCCTGGCATGTGCTATCGAGGCCTGAACCGAGAGGAGCCAACATACCCTTCAAACTCGGGGCGCTCCCGAACCTGTTCTGACCTGATTTAGGGAGCTTCCTTAAAGGGATCTGTAAGTTTTTTTTTTAATGTTTTTCTAGAAGAGTTCTATAAGGGCTCTATATGGGTTTAGGGTTGCTTATGGTTGTGGATTTAAGGTTCAGGTGTGAGAAAAAAACTGCTTCAGCCTACATACCAACCTGCAACCACAAAAGTCTACCTCTTTCGGTTTCCTACATACAATTCCTAAGAACCGTAGGTCTTTTGGGCCACAAGTAAACCCTGTGGTGCTTCTGTTGTCGTGACGTTTGGGAGACGCATCCATTAACGATTCCACTTTGCAGACTTTCAGAGGCGGCCTAGGGTTTTGGGTTCAGATAGGGTTTAGGGTTTAGTGAGGGTTTAGGGTTCAGGTAGGGTTTAGGGTTTAGGTCTTAGGGTTCCATGAGGTTGTTGGGCTCTTAGCATGAAGCTTTCAGATATTAAAGTCGTTTCTGTGTTTCTGAATTTAAACTTAAGGTCTAAGGCGTCGGAGCATTTTCGCTCCAGGGCTAAGCCGTGTGCACTTAAGCCCTTCAATCAAACTCCGAAAATCCGGGTAAGCCCTAATCCCGTATTCATGCAGAAAAACCCAGTACTGATTCTACAAAGTTCCCGGTGTCAATTTTGAAGAGCTGCTCGGAACAGAAGGGCTGAAGCCATGTGGCGTTGGTCTGATTCCCGGGTCTCCACTGCTCACTAGCGAACATAGATACCCTAACCTCTAAACCCTAAACCCTAATAAATGTAAAGGATGATTATTGCTGGGATTCCCTTTACCTAGTTTTGAAGGCACGGTTTCATGGTGCATCATATTCTAGAAATTCCCGGTACCTTGCCGCCAAAGCGCCTCAGCTTTTGGTACGAACATCTTGTGCCACATCTTTTTGCATTGCTGTTGTGATGTGTTTCTAGTCCCCTAAACCCTAAACCTTGGGCACTCTGTAGCCTATGAAACCCTAAACCCTGAACCGTTAAGACCGAGTTCTAAGTCCCAATATTTTGCTTCTAAGGCTTCTTCCGACATCCTCAAAGACACCACTCCCAAGTCTGCAGTCGGACTCTGGCGTTTAAGGGTTGAGTTCATATTCAGTGGTACCTAAACCCTAAACCCTAAACCCTAGGGTTACGAGTTCAGGGTCTGGGGGTCAAAACCCCATCGAACGCAGGCTGTTGTCCTCGTCCGGGGCACTTCTGCGGGCAGCATCTCCCTGTGGGTTGAACCATGGGGTGCTTTCCTGAGCGCCAGATAAGGGTTCGGGGTTTGGGGTTTAGGGTTTAGGGTTCAGGGTTTAGGGTTCAGGGTTTAGGGGTTTGGGGTTTAGGATTTAGGGGTTTAGGGGTTTGTGGGTTTAGGGGTTTAGGGTTCCAGACAGTGGTCTGCGTTCACGGATTAGAGAGGGAGTCAGGGTGAAACCAGCTTTTACGCCGGCTCAAGTTAGGATGTTCAGGGGGTCTGGTAAGATGATGGGTCGCGGGGGTTTCGAGAGTTCGAGGCATTCTTCGGTTTCATGGCTTCCCTAAACCCTTAACCCTAAACCTTAAACCCTCTGTTGCGCCCCGCGTGTGGGATTCCAGATCCTTGGTCCAGAGTCTGGAGGGTGCAGCAAACAGTATGAGCACTTTCCTTAATTTAGGACATTCTCAGGTGGGTAGTTACCGTTATAGGAGCCTTATAGAAGGTCTATATACCTTATGGAAGCCTGATAGAAGCCCTATATACCCAAACTCCCCATGTGTAGTTTGCCTTTCCTTAAACAGTCCCAAAGCCTGAACCCCGTGAATCCTGAACCCGAAAGACCCGAACCGAACCCTATGATCGGCTTCCGAAACATTCAAGCGTCGTGCTGCCAAACCGACTTCGGTTTAAGGTAAGTTTGTGGAAAAGAGGCTTGAACAACTACTGACATCCCTTTACAGTCGTTATATGAGTATTCTTGACATTGCTCCAGCTTGTCCAAATATTAAGGCTCCTATAGGAGCAGCAACAGTCGTGTCGAAAACCCAAACTGAGCTGAAAAGTTTAGACTACAATACTTCACAACACTTGTGGTACTACAGGTGCCTGAGTAGTTGGTACCGATATTCCTTCAAGCTCCTCCTACCCTCAGCCCTAAACTCTAAACCCTAAACCCTGAACCCTCACTTGACTATTGTATGGAAATCCACAAAACCTGTGTCTGCTTGCAACCCATGCCTAAACCCTAAACCTTGCACCCCCAAAAAATGAGGGGGCCCCAGCAGCGATGGAAACAAGAAGTCGGCCGTGCACCTCGATCGAGCCGAGAGGAGAGGTTGCCGTGCTGGTTGCTTTGAATGCTGTTTTTGTTCTTCCGGTGTTGGGAGTTCAAGAGCTTCTGCATCTTTAGCGGGCAACGTGAGGATCGTAGTTATTGTGCTCAAACGAGGTTTGATTCATGAACTGCTGAAGCCTTCTTCTGCGCTTTAGGTTCGGATCCCTCGCCCCAAGGCCTTCTAGCTGCAAAGACCGTACACTCCTTGAAGCAGCTGTGAATCAGTGAAGCACCTTATACAAACTCCAGAGCAGGTTTTCTTACACCCCTTAGGGTTTAGGGTTTAGGGTTTAGGGTTTGGGGCCTAAACACTAAACCCTAAATCCTCAACACTGGCTTCCCAGCCACTATGGGAAGATTTTAGACCCCTACACTACTACGACGGTTGCTATGGTGTACTTGGCAGGATAGCCCTAAACCCCAAACCCTGATCCTAGGCTTAGGGGATCTGCTTTTTTGATTCTCCCGAGAGTTTGGGCGCTGAACCAAGGCAACTCCACTTCGCTGATCCACCCGGCTCCATGTCCATCCCTCGAGGATTGGGCAACCAGGGAACTTACTTCCTTGGCTTCGTTTCAAGAGGAATAGGGTTTAGGGTTCAGGATTTCGGGTTTAGGGTTTAGGGTTTAAGCAATATGCTCTAGAACCTGTCAGAACTAGTTGGACCTCCTTCGAGTTCCTGAAACCCTGAACCCTGAAGCCACAGATGCGAAGGGATCGAGATAACGTAGGGGCCGAAATAATTACCAATACTATTTTGGGGGGTTCCTTATTACTAGTAGTATAATGGGCCCCAAAACCCTATTCTAAGTTTCAGGCCCCTATTATAAGGGCTTCAGGACTTGTGAGAGCATGGATGCGATTGTGGCATGGTCTCACTTCGGCATTTCTCTTTGCTTCAACCCTATACCCTAAACCCTAGACCCTAAACCCTGGCTTCAAGGTTTAGGATTTAACGTGTGGAGTTTCTTTTTCAGCTTGGAGCTCGAAATCGAAGTGTCGGTCTGGCGTTGAGTGCTTTGCCCGTCCAATTGAGTATCTGATGTCGCAATGGCCGGCTGGTGCGAGCTCAGTTCCATCCCTAGACTTAAACTAAAATCCGAAGCTTTGCCTTAAACTGGAGAATGTCAGCCCTACCTTAACCCCAAATAACCTACCTTTTTAGGGTTCCTTATTTTTTTAATAAAAGTCCTTGAAAAGGTAGGTTATTTGGGGTCCAGGTATGCCCTAAACCCTCAAACACAGAGTCTGCAACCACAACCTGATCCTGGCATGTATCTTGCTGCCCTTACCTAAAGTAACCTTACAGTAACCTTTATAATATGGCACCCCAGATGCCTTTATAGTAACTGCTATGGTAACCTTTATGGAATCCTTACAGCAGGTTCAGCCAGCAATGGGACCACCGACAAGTGGAAGGACGGGATCCCGATGACTCCAAGCCCGACCCGTTGGCAGACGCACTTCCTTCAACCCTGGGTCTAGGGTTTAGGGTTT